CCACTCAACCTGTCGCATTTAAAGCTTCACTTTACGATTGCTTGCATCAATGACACCTTACACCGATGTAGCTTTCATCTCACCATCTCGACCATGATGGTGGAGCAATACTCCTCCCTATATTGCCTGCAACGGAATGGTCTATCGAAGTGGGATATGTGCTGCCAATTGTCAAATGGCAGACTTGATGGGGTGCAGGTTCAGTCTTGTGACGGTCGTGGAGAAATTGACGTTATAATCACTGCCTTAGTCCAGCCACACACGTGTTGAAAGTGTGAACAGCGATGATATCATCTCTGCTGTGCAAGCTCACTTATGTATGCTAGTCGTGGTAGCTGCACCGATGTACACAACAACATGAAAATATCGAAGTTACCGTCAGTCACACATGCGAACATTAACAAAATTATTAGACCTCTTCTTGCCCTTTACCTCCTCTAACTGCCAACTCGTGTATCGTCTGTTGGTAACCTCTCCCCTCACTGGTTGCCGCCTCTTTCAAGTGCGGTGAGTTGCAACAAATCGCAACACCATGAGATGCTCAGAAGTATGCAATGGACACTGGGAGGCAAGCAGATGCAATGTGCAACCAATGTCGACTCATCCTCCTCCTCCTCACCCACTTTATCCTCCACAGTTCAGCTCCATTTTCACTCAGTTTCTAAAGATCGTGCTTAAACTTCTGCGAAATGAAGTCCTGCATTCGCCACACACTGATACAACAGATATCAAACAGTGGCGCCCTTACATAGCTATGAATTGCATGATTTGATTCTCAACGATCACTCCGACCTCTTTTGAGGCAACTGTCCAGTTGTGGGTCTTTAGCAAACGTCGTCTCTATTTAGGCCTTGAATCCTATAGCATTATACAGTCAGAGCCCGACTTATTCGACAGCATTCACTTCGCCACAATAATCACGTTCACTTTCTTATCACTATTTTAACGGTTCTTCCTGTTGCAACAATGAGTCCGCACTTCACACCGAACATCCTGCAATGATTGTACTTCCCTGATGGCTTTGATGTGGAGTCGTAAAATCTGCGCATTTCACATAAACGCCTCACCACGGTTGACCATCTAGCCATAATTGTAGGCTTCGCGTCACCCATTCAGCCATGCCAACTCTCTTGCCTTCCAGCAGATAGCAGAGGAGACACGGCCATTGCTGAAAAGTTATTGTGAGGAAAAGGCTTACTTGCACTACATGCGGAAGGCATTTGTGTGTAGCGTCATGGGATCTCGCATCGCCTCTCACGGCTGGCAAATATAGCACTTGCATGTGTGTTGCCTTATTTGTGCGTCGGGTTAGAGAGTTGTGATCGCTAATGATCTCAGTGTCAAGGGGGACCGCAAGTTCAAAGAACATTTGTATGCTTTTCCATGGTAAGAAGCATGCATCCATTCTCAAGTGCTTCACGTAGGAAATAAAGGGAAATAAATGAGTCTTCGACGACAAGGAATGCTTAAAATAGGAAAGAGGATGCGGACGCGATTCTCGTCGGTGGCGGTGACCGAGGGTAACGTGGGTGAGGAGAAGTGCTGACCTGGCGATCGACAGCAATCACCTCGCCGTGTGCAAGGCGCCGTTGGTAACAGATCGACCACTAAGCGAAACTTTCATTGGCATCAGCATGCATAGGCGACCTTTTAACCGTTCCACAAATCTTCCGCTCCATACCGCACAAAACTACCCATCTGTGCAGCAAATTTTGTTGGTCGCGTTGGTGTGGCAACGGAAAGAATGTGGCATTGAGAGGACAAGAATGTGTCATCGCAGTGCCGAGATGAATATTTTCTCATTCATTACAACATGTGGTGACATCACATCTGCATTCCCCTCCCATGGAAGGAGGGAAGGAAGTCGTGCTGAGGTTTGAACGAGGGCCAAATTTAAGTTTGAGGGATCCTGTGGAAGACAGTCCCACCTGGTTGTGCGTGTTATGGCGTGGTTACCACAAGGAACATTCGTCGGAGCACTTTGTTCTGACTCCCTCACAACTTGTAGCTAGCAGCAGCAGAAGGAAATGAAGCACTGATTGGTTCATCGATTAAACCCATTTTTAACCAAGAAGTTTAAATTTGACAGCTTCCTTTACACTCACAGCTCAAGGTCAAAGAGCGGGAACGTGTCCGCCTTCAGTTTTCTCGTAACGTCTGTAAGGACGACTTCTTGGCGGTAATCAGAACAATGAATTTGGCGGACTCGTGCAGGGTAGTGCACTAACTTACGAAATCTGAGTTGCAAACATGCATTATCTGTTTAGGAGCTAATCGTGTTTGCTCATGACACGATATAATGCAGACCAGCTGCATCTGTTGTGGTTAGGCCCACTTGCAGGATTGGGATGGACATTCATGTGCCACGTCGTGCATGTTTGATGTGCAGAGAAGTTCTAGGCACCGGAGGGTCCCTATGTTGCGACGCTTGTGGGACTTGTTTCGGCACCTCGAACCGTTTGCATTCCGTGGCATCTACGGGAGGCGTTACTTTACCTGATGTAGACTTGACAAACAGTGATGTGGACGTGGACTTGGGCGTAGGAGAAACTGTGAATGGTTGACGCGACCGCTTGATGGCAATGGCAATGATGACGAGATAACACGATGGTACGTAGCTGTCTTTGACACGGTTGAATACTTTGGTCTCACTCCATTGTGCCGTGGCGGTGTGTTGGCTCAATACGATGCCTCATCTCCCCGCACTAGGCAGTAGCAAGAGCGTCGGATAAGTTGGTCTGAAGTGAGTGAAGAAGAGGCAGGCCTCGATGCGGTGGTACTTGTCTCGCCGATAAGTCGTGTGAAAAATGTGACGAGGGCAACTGCTTGTGCAATGCTGGAGACAGTGAAAAGGGTTGTCGCATTTCCCTTACTTCCAACAAACGCCTCGATAAAATTCGCTGCATGGGCTAAAACAAGTTGTCCACAGTGAACTCAACGTCCGCATACGACTTTGCAGAGGCTGATGGTAGAGGCAGGGAGAGGACGACTCTTCTGGTACCGTAGGACGCTTCCGCACGACCGGTTTGCAAATCAGAGCTGTGCCACCACCCTTACGGACTGAGCTTACAAAGTAGCGCCCAATGAGTCATCGTCCAATCGCCTTCCTTCTCAGACCACTGAGGGTAAGGAGGAAGAGGGCGAAGGGGAAAGCGCTACGAAGGGAAGGTAGACATAAGGGGAACGACGATTGGAAAAAAAGCCTGTGAATGTGCAAGTCAGTAGGTAATAAATGCAAATCCAAAGGCTCTTTGGTACTCTCACCAAAAAATGCAGCACCTTCAAGTCGCTGATGCCTTAAAGCTTCCATAAACATCAGTTCCCGTCAAAAGGCGTGGTCATCAACAGTTCGGATGAGTCGAAGGCACACAGAGTTTGCCAGGTGGGTAACCACATCAACACATGCGCTCTGACAAATAATGCGTACTCGCAGCCGACTAAACACGTCCCCACTTCAAAGCAACGTTTATTACCTCCGACCGACACGACGCCAAATCCATCTCGATGCAACACAAATCGGTTAAATTAAAAGTA